CAAAGAACATTTCTAACTATAAGGATTTACTCCACCACAACTTTATGGTTGTTTATAATTTATACTACTATATCTTACTACATAGCATAGAGTTTTATGAAATCCTATATATCATAGATTTTATGAAATAATGACAATATGATTGAAATAAAGATAGTGAACAATAATAAGATTTGGTAACTACAATGATAATTTTAGTGATCATGATTATGTTCAATATATCAATATAGTGACTATGCATAGTAACTATAGTAATTAATATTTATGTCCACTAGTTCTACTTGGGTAATATTTATGAAATAATCTCAAGTTTTTTTGACCGAGTAGCGGAGCACAATTTTTATCTTTAAGTACCAATCTTAAATTTCGGGGTAAGAAGCTGGGCACTTGCCCCCAGCGTAAGCTTACAGCGGCAAGTGATATACCAAACTTCAATGTCGATGCTCCAAACAAAATAATACAAATATGCAATCACCAAGCTGAGGAAAAACCACATCTAGCTAGCATAGAGTGAGTGGTAAAAGTAGGACTGAGAAAAAATACCGAAATTTTGGTATATATGCCGCATATACCATATCGAAAAATACTAGATTTACCGAAGATTTAGGTATACCGACATTTTCGGTATGGTGTGGTACCGTACCAAATTATTTCGGTATGGTATCGGTATATGTTTAGAAAATAAAAGGTATACCGGCATATCGTTATACCGAAAATCCTATTCAAATATTTTTTAAAATATATAAAAATGACTAAATACACAACATCATATTAGGGATAATAAATGATTTTATATCCATGTTGTTTGAATAATTTTATTTTTTTATAAGAGATCACTATTGATTTAATTATATCTATTTTATTTAAGTTATTTTAGGAAGAATGTGTTACATTTTAATACGTGGCACATTGAACTGCTTAAATATACTTATAATAATTATTGTTCAATATTGAATTTGACCTCAATAGATTATTATTTGTATTTGAATTTATAATAGGAAAATTTGAAAGTAACAATCCCAACTATTGGCGGTCCGCTAACAATAATCCCAACTATTGATTATTTTTGTATAATCCCAACTATATAGACCGTCCGCCAATAATGGTCCATGACCAAATATTAACTCCTATGAAAAGTGATTTTGAAATAGAAATTAAACGTAAAAATTAAAAGTTGGATTATTTATAGGAATTACTTGCTATATCTTTTCTCATCCACTTTAGAAACTACAAGAATTTATTCACAGGGACCATTATTAGCGGAAGGTCCCTAAAGTTGGGATTATTCTGAAATAATCAATAGTTGGGATTATTACGGGCGGACTGCCAATAGTTGGGATTATTACTATCAATTTTTCCTTTATAATATTTTAATAATGGATTAACTATGTCGCTAGTAACACACCGATTTTGTATATTTTGTTAGTTTATGATAATTTGTTGTATTGTAATTTACCGATACCGTACCGCTACCAAACCGAAACTTCTATACCGAAAAGTTCATCAAATCAAAAGATATGAAAAAAATGGTGGACGGTCGAATCCTGAAATCGATCTCAACAGCGATCATCTGACTTCCTCGTATGTTTTCACCTTGCTCCTCTCAGATTCTCGTCATGGTGTCTTCATATGATTTGTATACCTTGAAGTTATATTTCATACGGAACTTGAATCATTCACTCTGGACGTTTCTACAAAAAGATATGCTTGAACGATAGACAGAACGTCATCCTGATCACCGTTTTCAGGCTCTATTCATCTTCTTTTGATCTCGCACTTGATCCTTGAGCTCTCTTGAATGATTAATGAATCGTGGGCCTTCAATGTTTCTAAATAATCTCAAACGTGTCTCAACTCTCTCGATTACTTCTCAAATGTCGGTGTCGGGCTTAATTCCTTGATTTTGACTCTAAAAATACCAAACACGAACCAACGCCCGGTAAAATATGACTTGAGCTGATAATGAGACTTGTGACACATTTAAGCTAGAAAACATTCAAAATTCGATCTCAACACGCATCAAATGCATGTCGAAATACGGACTTATCAGTCTATAAAGTCATTGGGATTGGGGACGCTACGGCCATCACGGAATGGCATAACTAACAAATCGTAGGGGAAGTTTTTCGTATCTAAGTGAAATTTTCTACAAACACTAGATCTAACCCCCAAGGAAGCCAAGTATGGAAATAAAACGAAGAACAAATGAAGAACTAACCTTAAACATTTGAAGAACTCGAAGAACATTTGAAGAACTCAAAGGGCACTTATCTCTCTAAAAACCGGCAGCACTTCGTTACTTCAACGAATGCAAAGTGAAGGAGATGCGTCAGATGAGAAATATTTATAGCAACCACTCCCAACAGTCTCTACAAGTGGCACCGCTTCATTGGCTACCCCAACGGTCGCCTCCAACATGACCAATCTGAAGCTAGCCAGCCCACTGTCAAATCGTATACACTTACGCCGACTACATCAACCACACACGTTGGGCCATAAAACGGCCACAATACAAACTCCTCACATCACTTTAGCAAGGAACTAAGGTGATGTAAAATCCAAAGCCCATGATCTCTCGTACAGAACCCATCGATGATAGCCTCTAGCCTGCGACCCTCGTCCAGGGTTCTCTCACGAGGTTACCTTGTTCAGGGATTGCCAGGAGGTTGGATTCATGAAGAACTCGAGGGTTCTGCTTCGGCCTAGGACACTTCCTTAGTCCTTCACACCTATCATACACCTCGGTCTGAAGAAGTGGGGGACTGGGGGACTACATCGACCTCCACAAATTGAGAGAACCTCAAAACGGCAGACAAATCATTTGCAAAATAAGTAAACACCAACACTTCGGCCACAACGCTGGCCTCATGCCAGCCTACAAAGGACTGACTAAGAGATAGACTTTGGCCACCGGATAACGTCAACACGACGTCCACAGACATATGAACCAGCAGCCTCAAGGCAGTGACATCCGTCGTCCACGAGAATCTTAAGTTTCACACGATGACTAAGGGAAAACACCACCACATCGGCCATAAGGCACGCCTCGCGTCCGCCAAGGAACAACAAAGCTAGAGAAAAATGAAAAGGAATGTTCTACTCCCTTTTGTTTCATCATATCTCAGCTAATTAGAGAGTGGGGGATTTCCTGATAGAGTATATGAGACCAGACCCCATGGCCCACATACTCAGAAAGACCGACACAGAGACTTTGGACACTCAGATGGCCCTCCATAGGTCGAATAATATCGGATCACAGAACATAGCCCAGAAGCCCAAGAGCAGAATCTTGGACCTCCATCGGCCAGGCCCTCCACCAGTCTGGCCCTCCTTCAGCCAATGAGACTTCAGCAGATTAGATTTTATACTTAGCCTTATAAATCATGTACTGACGTGCACTTTGTCGTAGTGTGCACTCAAAATAAATAATCAATACAACAATTATACGTAGTATAATGAAGTAAGGTTCGTATCCATAGGGAAAAGAATATCATTCTTTTAATTAAAATAATACAAAGGGGGGTTTTGAGTTTGGTTTGATTTAATGTAATTAACACTAAGATGAATGACTTATGTGTTTTACTTTAATAGAGATGGAGACTTGGTTTTGCTTTTATCCACTTAATGAAATGTTTGTCGATCCCGGTTATATCTTTAACTATCTTCCTCTCGAATACTCAATCGAGGAGTATATCCAGTTTATCGAGGGTAGTTATTAATAACGAGACACATTCATTAATAAAACTTACTACCGAGTTAATATAGAACACGCGCTGTATATCAACTCGATAGTAGCAATAAAATCAAGATGAAAACGATTGAGATTGATAACCTCAACACAAGCGGTTTATTGGTTTAATCAACATAATTAATTCCCCTTAGATTATTAACCATTAGACGCATGCATTAATAATCCAAGTTTACTACCGTGAATGAACCGAAGTAATAACAAGCGTATTAATCGATTGATTCTAGTAATAATTAATATATGAAACAAAACTAGTTGATCCTTTAAGTAATGCTCAAAATATTAATATGAGATATGAATAGGAATTAATTAATATTCAAGGAAGAAGATTAAAGAAAAATAACTCACAACTTACAAATTCATTAAGCTTCTAAGTAGAAAACCAAGATGGAAGAATTTAGTTCCTCATTTGGAGACTAAACATGAAGGAAATATAAAGAAAGAGCTTGTCTAAACTGAGCTAAGAAGTATATGTGAATTGGTGATCTAATTGTGATGGGAAGGGGGTGTATTTATAGTATTTTGGACATGCAGTCCGGGTACCCGATCGGGTATATACACGGTACCCGACCGGGTATGTGTAAAATACCATATTCAAGGTATATTCGACCGAATTCAGGGTTAAAATTGAAAGTATACCCGATCGGGTATATACAAGGTACCCGACCGGGTATGTGTACAAAGCCATATTCGAGGTATACTCGACTGATTTCAAGTTTAAAATCGAAGGCATACCCGATCGGGTGTGTCGGTGTACCTGATCGGGTATAGACACTCGATCGTGGTCCAAATCTTCCCTGCATGTTCCTTTGTCTTCGGATCCGATTTGATTTGAGATTTCAATAAGATATCCGATCGAGTATAGGTCATACCCGACCGGGTATAGACCAAAAATCAAGATCTTCATTTCGTCTTGTGATTTTGCACCTTCCTTCCACTTTTGGGGTTCACCAACTGTCCTTTTAGTGATCATAGACCTGTTTTAGCTCACAATAAACCTAATCTAAACAATTTACAAGTATTTAACAAACTAAACTATTACACCAAACACTACAAGAAAATTGATTTTTTGCAACAAATGATTTGCGACCGACATCCAATATAGTCGCAATATGTATATGAATTGCAACGATTTTCTTATACAGTCCCGAATACACGAAAACTGTTTTTGTTTTTGGTACCGCCCTAATACCCGTTCGCTATCTTCTTTTTATTCTGGCCGCTAAAAGTAATTATAATTAGGGCCGCATCTAAAAAAATCCCGCGCACCAATATTTCTTTTGACCCTGCTCCAAAACAAATTCACGCTTTGCTAACCCTTCTTTAATTTTTCCCAAAACATAAAACCTCCTCCGGAGAGCCCTAGAAACAGTTCATCGTAACAGAGCCGCACCCCAAAACTTTGCCGCAACAGTAGATCTTGTTGAGTCGCCCTGCAATACCATCTTCTTGCGGTGCCGTGCTGTAGCCATCTTCTCTCCGTACAGTAGCCATCTTTCTCTCCGTGCAGTAGCCATCTTCCTCGCCCAAGGTTGTCGACCAATCCCATCCCCTGGCTGTCCTGTGTCCGAAGGTAATTCCAGAGCTTTATTTTAATACTAATGGCGCAAACCTTAAATTACGGAAGATATCACACAAACGGCGCTGTTTGACAATATTTTCCCCTCCATTTCCCCCTTTTCCCCATTTATACGGCTTATAATATATGTATTAAATGCTTGAATGCGTATACAAAAAAGGTTGAACATTTGTACAGAACAATGAAAAAATGCATCCTCTGAAGCATTCCCTTATTTATCGAGATGTGGAGTGAAACAACAGTCCTTCATACAAGTCTTATAGACTTGGTTGTTGTAGAAAATAAATATCGACTGCGATTTTGAAGATTGTTGGAAAAATTGATGTATAGTGAATGTCTATGTAAAGAGAGACTGAAAGATCGAATAAATAGTGTTTCAAATTGATAAATAGGCTATATGTATATGTATTCAGTTATTCAAGTCAGAAAACCTTTCAAGAATTTGCATAATCTGTTTTTCGCTTCTAGCATGCTCACCATTCCAATGAAATATTTGCTTGATCACTCAAATTTGCAAAATGTATAGATTGCTTATTGTAGTCCATTTATGAAATGCATTTTCAATCCCAGTGTGGGTTGGCCAAATAGTAATGCAGTGGTAAGTATTACTTTTAACTGCATTCACACTGCCTTCTAACAAGGATGTTGTTTCACTCCACATCTCATGATTTTCAACCCAAGGAATGGCGCATTATTTAAACTTCTTAATTTGCTTGTTTCTGTGGAATCAACAATCTTATGCTGAGAGTAAAACATTGAATCTTATGCTGCCTAACTGGAGCTAGTTAATTTCTTCATTCATTCATTGAATCTTATGCTGCCTAACATTAAATCTTATGCTGCCTAACTGGAGTTAGTTAATTTGCTGCCTAACTGCTTGTTTCTGATTTGGTTTTGATAGCTGTCGGTTATTCATTCATGATTTTTTTCTATTTTTGGAGTGCTACTGGGAATGAACTGAAATGATTTATTGCTATTTTTCTAGTATATGTATGAGGATCTGGAATCGTTTTCTGAACCAAATGAGCTTATTCGGTTCTTCTTATGGTTCCTTGAAACTAATCTAGTTTAGCTTCTGTGGATTGATCGATTTCAAGATCAGAATATCAGTTTTCTGGATTGAATTCAATGATCTGTGGCGGGGGGCTTGTTTGACTGACTAGTTGGATTTTCATTGCATATGGTTGACTAGTAGTTTTCCGACATTGTCTTTCCCATATAGTTATAGGGACTCCTGGTTGCTTCAAAAGTATACCTTGGTATTCATAATATCTCCACCTCTTGTGCGTATATGAATGCTATGACTTGCATCACTCTATTTCCCTCATTCATTTGTTACTTCATTAAGTATTTAAGATTGTGTTATAGTCAAACTTATTAAAAGCGCTCAAAAGCGCCATTAACCGACAAAGCGCAGGCGAGCGCATACCCTGCGCTTGGCTTTTGAGAAGCGGCTCTGCGTGAGAAAGCGTCGCTTTACCGTCGCTTTTCCGGAGCTCGCTTGGGAGAAAAGCGAACGTTTTTCATCGCTTTTCACAAAAAACGCATTTGACCAGTCAACTTTTTTTAGTTTTAGCTTTATCTGCCCGTCGCTACAAGTTAGGGTTATCTTGGAGTCTTTCGACACTTTCGATACTCCACACAGCCGCAGGTGAAGACTGAAGAAGTGGGAGGTGAAGAAAGAGACAGAGAGTTCGCCACTTCGCCCAAACTTCCCTCCGGACAGAAATCGCTCACTCGCTGGTGAGCCGCAGGTTGTCTTTTGACTCTTTCATCAATAGTTTCTTTCCTCGTTTGATATCTTTCCTTGTATATGAAGTACTCTGTTTTTTTTAGTTTGATATCTTTCGGTCTTTCCTTGTTACAAATAACATCCTCTGTCTTCTATCTGTTTCAGACTTAATTTTTTTTAGTTTTTAAGTTTTTTGGTAGTAACTAATAATTGTACTTATTATTTTATCAAGAATTAATGTAGTAAATTACATACAGAAAGATCAATCTGTCTTCACATTAGTAGTTAGTTTCTCAAATGTATTCGGAGCTAAATGAAATTCCAGTTTATTACTTTCTGTCTTCACTTTATTATAAAATTCAAGTAATCAGGGAAAAAAAGATCACATCAAAAAATTTCTGGGACAGTCTTATAACTTCTCACATTATGCAGATACTTTGATTACTTGTTTTACATAGACTTTGAAGTATGTGTGGCTGAACTGTCAACCGTGCACATAATGCTTTGGGACATTTACAGGCCACCTTTTTCTATTTGATTGCATATATTTTCTTTTATTTTTTAAGCATCGCTTTTTGTGAGAAAGCTACGCTTCGCTTAGCGCTTTCGCTTTTAAGCAAAACTCAAGGTCATCGCTTTTGGCCGCTTTTCGCTTTAAAAAAGTTTGGTTATAGTTCTTCGGTATGATATAAGGATGTTTTTACTTAGACTGTAATTTGCTGGTCTGGTCTGGTCTGGTCTGTTTTGGTCTGGTCTAGTCTGGTCTGTTTTTGGTCTGGTCTGGTCTGAAATTTTATTTTTTATATTTTTTTCATAAAGATTTTATTTTTTATATATATTATAATCCATAAATAATTATATTTTATTCATTTATAATTACAAATAATAATAGCAAAAACAACAACAACAACAACAATAATAATAATAATAATAATAACAACAATAATAATAACAATAGTAATAATAATAATAATAATAATAATAATAATAATAATAATAATAATAATAATTAGGGGTGTGCACTATCCGGTTTAAACCGGAAAACCGGACCGGAAAAACCGGAACCTAAGTACACTTCTATACTCACATACTGAAAAATGTTTGATTCACAGATTACCCTTAACATTATAATAAATAATAACTAAATCCCTTTGAGTAATAATATTTTTGTGTATGTCTCTTTTTAGATTGATTTCTTTCTTTCTATAATCTTTATTTCTTTTTACACAGTTTTGTGGGAGAGTTAGTTTACCCGTTATTGAAGAAATGGCACCCAATAAAGATTGGATTGAATTATTTAATGATCGGCTAAGTGAAACATATTTGCAAGGAATTAAAACATTTTTAGATTATGCATTTCAAAGGACAGGAGAAAAATTTGAAATTAGATGTCCATGTGTGAAATGTTGCAATACGTATTCGAAGAGTCGTGAAGTAGTTGAATTGCATTTGAAAGTATATGGAATGATGACAAACTACACCTTTTGGTATCATCATGGAGAAAGGTTAGGAGAACTTGAATCTGATACTTATGGTGACGCTAATAACGACTCTGAAGATGACATTGATGGCGAGGTGCAGGAAATAATAGAAGACTTTTTTCCTCATAATGACAAGTATACTGAAGGTGCTTATATCCTAGAAGAGGAGCCAAATGATGAAGCAAATTTTTTTTATAGGTTGTTGCATGATTCCCATCAACCTGTATATGAAGGATGCAAGTCCGCAAAGTTGTCAATTTTGGTAAGGTTGCTTCACATAAGAGTATTGGGAAATGGAGTAATGAGTCCTTTACAATGCTGTTAAAACTCCTTAATGAGGATCTACTTCCTAAGGCATCTAATTTACCGAATTCTTATTATGAGGCAAAGAAGACAATTAAAGATCTTGGTCTTTCTTACCAAAAGATAGATGCTTGTGGAAATGATTGCATGTTATATTGGAAGGATGATGAAGAGGCTGAATTTTGTAAAGTATGTGGTGACTCGAGATGGGAGAATGATAAGCGTAGCGGTGAGTGCAAGTATAAAGCAAATGGTAAGAAAATACCAAAAAAGACATCACGATATTTTCCATTAACACCTCGACTCCAGAGATTGTTCATGTCTAAAAAGACATCATCTTTGATGAGATGGCATCACAATAGAAGAAAAGTTGATGATGGTGCAACTATGACTCATCCGGCTGACTCAAGAGCATGGAAGCATTTTAATGAGTTGCATAAATCATTTTATGCAAACCCGTGCAATGTCAGACTTGGTCTTGCCACTGATGGGTTTCAACCATTTGCTAATTCAAAGAATTCTTATAGTATTTGGCCGGTAATTCTTGTTCCGTATAATCTGCCTCCGTGGATGTGCATTGATCAATCAAATTTAATTTTATCAACGCTAATTCTTGGTCCCGAAAGTCCAGGGGATGCAATTGATGTTTATCTCCAACCATTGATAGAAGAGCTTAAAGTCTTATGGGGAACCGGAGCTGAAACATATGACGCTTCTAGAAAAATAAACTTCCAATTGCATGCTGCCTTATTGTGGACAATAAATGATTTTTCCGCATATGCCAATTTATCTGGATGGAGCACCAAAGGAAGATTAACTTGCCCTTCTTGCAATAAAGACACTTCATGGACTAGATTACCTAATTGGTCCAAGCAATGCTACATGGGACATCTTCGTTGGCTTCCTAGAGATCATAAATGGCGAAACAATAAGAAGTCATTTGATGGCACGAAAGAGCTAAGAGTGCAACCAAAACCTATTTCAGGTAGTGACATACATGAGTAGGTGAAAGACCTTGATGGAATGGTCTTGACAAAGGATGGAAGTAGAAAGGTGAAAATATCCCACAAGAGTAGAGGAGATAATTGGAATAAGAAAAGCATATTTTTTGAACTTCCATATTGGGAAACTTTGCTGTTACGACATAATTGAGATGTTATGCACATTGAAAAGAACATTTGTGATAATATTTTGGGTACTCTCATGAATATGAAAGGGAAGACAAAAGATAATCTTCAAACTCGGCTTGATTTGCAAGCAATGAACATAAGACCAGAACCGCACCCGACCAAGGAAGGTGATACATATACATATCGAGTGGCATCTTATGTACTGTCAGATGAAGAGAAGCATAAATTCTGCCTTTTCTTGAAGCAACTAAAAGTTCCAGACGGGTATTCATCTAATATCTCGCATAGTGTCAACCTCAAAGATCACAAGATTTCGGGCTTAAAGAGTCATGATTGTCATGTCATATTACAAAACTTGCTTCCTCTCGCAATTCGTGGTCTACTACCTAAAGCTGTTTATGAACCACTTTTTGAGCTTTCCCTGTTTTTCAATACTCTATGTGCTAAAGTGTTGAAGGTTGATGATCTGGAAAAAATTCAAGCTCAAATTCCTATAACCTTATGCAAGCTGGAGAAGATATTCCCACCTTCTTTTTTTGATATCATGGTGCATTTGCCCATTCATTTAGCTCTTGAGGCACTTAATGGCGGACCGGTTCAGTACAGGTGGATGTATTTTGTAGAAAGAACAATGTTTGTGTTGAAGTCCCTGATTCGTAATTCTACTCGTCCAGAAGGTTCAATCGCAGAAGGCTATATAGCTACTGAGTGCATGACCTTTTGCTCACGATATTTAAAAGGCATGAAAACCAAGTTCAATCGTTCTGAGCGCAATTTCGATGGTGGTATGAATGAGTTTAATGGTGGCTTGAAAATATTTAATCATCCCGGGAGAACATTAGGGGCGGGCAGACAATGTCATTTGGACCCGAATGAGCTTGAGCAAGCCCATCTCTATGTTCTAAAAAACTGTGATGCAGTCCAATCCTTTCTTGAGTAAGGACTGCCCTATCATCTTGAATGTATTATCCAACTATTTTTAATATCATTTATTAACAAATAATTTCTTTTTATTTTATAGAGAATATTCACAAACTGAAGCAATTTCCTCACAAACTCTATCGGATAAAGAATGGGATAGTCAGTTCATTGAATGGTTTAAGACCAGAGTAAGTACATCCCTAGAAATTTCTTCACCTTATTATAATCTTTAATTTGGTTAGAGTAGGCATTAAACTTTATTTCTTTGGACATAGGTGTCTCAAATGCATAAAAGTGATCAAAGCGAAGAAATCAAAGACTTGATTGCACTATCTCGTGGTCCTACCCCATACGTGACAAGTTATAAAGGTTACATTTGCAACGGATACAGATTTCATATAGAGGAACATGATAAAGGTTTAAGGACTCAGAATAGTGGTGTGATCGTTGTAGGAGAAAATGGTATTGATGTTGAGAGCATTGATTACTATGGGGTGCTCGTTGAGGTTCTTGAATTGCAATATCTTAGAGGAAAACGGGTAGTTTTATTTCGTTGTAAATGGTGGGATGTATATGATAGACAAAGAGGAGTTAAAATAGATGAATATGGGATTGTTAGTGTTAATTTTCATCGTATTCTAAAAACGAATGAGCCCTTTGTCTTGGCCAGCCAAGTTTCCCAGGTTTTCTATGCCATTGATAATAATAACAAGGGTTGGCATGTTGCGAGAAAAGTACAACCCCGTGACACATATTCAATGCCATTGGAAATGGAAGATGATGTTGAAAACCTAGACCATTTAAATGCAGCAGTTCAAGATGCTTTATCATCTTCTCCTAATTTTGTTCCTACAACTATGTCTAGTACCGAAGGTGAAATTAGTTTGGTAAGATGTGATATGGAGCAAATCTCAACGAGTGAAAGTGCACCAAAACAGACAAAAAAACGAAAAAAAGACATCTTTAGTGCAGGTCATGTTTTTTAGTGAATACTTTCATAATTTGTCAATTTCTTTTTTTTACTTTTGTTAATTTAATTCGTCTGTTTGTAGAATGCATCCTTTAATAACAATAATATTAAAGGTTATAATGTTTGATATTTTTCAGGTCAAAATGAATTTAAATAGGCTTGGAATGGCAAAGTCGACAAAGCCAATATTCATTAAACCGGGCATTTTGGGTAGGCGGCTTGGACAAGGGCTAAGTCCAATGCTCTCTAATAACACTATGGTGCCTTCAAAGTTTGCTACAATGCATGAAAGTGCCAATTTGGAATCCGGCATAGTACTGTTTTTAATTATACTACTTTATATGACATTTTGCTTCTTTTAAGTTACTTAAGGTTTCTTTATTTTTTAATATCATTACTGCATATTTGGTGCTTTTAAGAATGATTTAATAACGCTTACAGTTGCTGCTATTTAGGCATAATTTAAAAATTACTATTTTTTTACTCATTTGATTCTGTACATATAATTGCTGCTTCTAGGTGGAGGACTTGTAACACGTTCCTGGGACTATACTATGGGTATACATGCTTCAATTATGAATCAAATGAATAGCTGCACTATTATTTAGCCAATTGTATATATTATATTTTGGTACATTTTCTTATTCGATTTGCAGATACGATGAACCAAATGAAAAGGAAAAAAACAGGTAACAAACATGAAGAAAATGATAGAATGGAATGTTATCTTAATCAATTTATTTATGATCTTATTTGTATTACTATCTTATTCAATTTGTAGATAGCATGGACCAAATGAAAAGGCAAAAAACTGATAAGGAACATGCTGAAGATGGTAGAAAAAGACCGAACAACTTGAATGACATGTCTAGAGGTGGTGATGTGACCTTTTTCTGTTTTTATATCACTGGAATTTGGTGTAATTAAGAGTACTAATATTGTCTTTATGCCGCTTTGATCAACAATACGTTTTTCTATTTTGTTGACTTTATCCATGTTAGGCAGCGGACTTGGAACGCCTTTGTGTAACTATACTATGGGTATAGATGCCTCATTTTATGAAAATGATGATTGGGAGTGTGGTACGTTGATGTTCTGCACCTAGCTTAGCTTCCCCTTCTTGCGAAAAGATTTTAGCCTATTTCTTTTTACACTAGATATTTATTATTGCTTTTCTCCTCTAAACAAAGCATCTTTCTAACTCATCCATGTGATTCTTTGTAGTTCTTTTTTAGGCATTTATATATATGTATGTATTACAATTTTGTATAACTATCTTATTCAATTTTTAGATAGCATGGACCAGATGAAAGAGCAAAAGACAAACAAGGAATGCGCTGAAGATGATAGAAAAAGACTGAATAGTTTGAATGGCGTGTCCAGTATTAACGCATAATATTAATATAATATTATTGTACATTTGTTATATGTAATTATCTCATACGGTAGTTAGTATTTGTATTTATCTCATACGTATGACTAGCTATATCCCTTAGTTTGTGATTAGTTTGTTATTTGATCTTATCACCACCTACTGTAACTCTATATATTCATGTACGTAGCTAAAGCTGAATACAACAATTCAATATCTTCCATTATACTTCTTCATGGTATCAAGAGCCTTCCTCTAACGAGCTTCAATTTTTTTCCGATCCAACCATGTCGATTATCACTCCTACCACGCCGGTCATCTCACTCACGACTTCCATCCATTTTCCTATCAAACTCACCACATCAAACTACCCCGTCTGGAAGTGTCAAGTACACTCCGCCCTTGTCGGTCTCGGTCTCGACGGATATGTGGATGGTTCACTTACAGCACCGGACAAATACATGGATGCTGCCAAGACCCAGCCGAACCCTTGCTACGCCATTTGGTATCGTCAAGATCGCACTATTATCAGTGCATTGCTTGGGAGTTGCGCCGATGTCATTCAACCCTTGATCTCGTCTGTTACGACGGCAAAACAGGCCTGGGATAAGCTCTCGCTCACGTATGCGAGCACATCCCGAGGCAGAATCATCTCCCTCAAAACGGCTCTCTCGAACTACAAAGGGAGGCCGCTCTATCACTGAATATGTTGCTGAGATGTACGCAATCTCCGAGGCACTGGCCCTCTCTCAAAGCCCCATTTCCGAGGAAGATTTGGTGATCAACATTCTTAACGTTCTAAGTTCTGATTACGGTGAATTAAGATCTGCCATTTGAGTTCGCAATACTCCACTCCCACTGGCAGAATTGCAGGATATTCTCCTGGAGCATGAGCAAAAGCTTCAAGAAGCAGGTGTGTCGGCGCAGCAGCTTGTACCTACTGCACATTACACTCAGGCTAATGGTCGCGTAGGTGATCCATCCATGCACGCTGACCGCCGTACCATGCACACCACTGATCGCCGTCCTAATCATCCGCGTCGTGGTCGTGGCGGCCATTTTCCTGGACAGTACCGGAACCCTCCCTCCAATGGAGTTGTGTGCCGCTTCTGTAATTTCTCCGGCCATGAAGTCAAGCAGTGCCGGAAATTACAGCGTTTTTTACGTGATAATCAAATCACTCCTTCAGCGGGTTCTGGCTCTCCGGCCGTTCACAATACGATGGTCCATCCTATGACTAATGGTCAACAGTGGCTATTTGATAGTGGGGCCTCCCATCATATCACCTCGGATAATTCAAATCTTCCTAACTATGTTGATTATGGAGGCCCTGATGAGGTTCATCTTGGTGACGGTAACTCCCTGCCTATTACACACACTGGCTCTACTAGCCTATCCACCAAATCCCGACCTTTATCCCTCACTAATGTTCTTTGTGTACCTTCCCTTAATAAAAATTTAATATCTGTTGCTAAACTTTGCAGAACTAATTCAGTTTCTGTTGAATTTTTTCTCTACCCATTTTTTTTTGTTAAGGATCAGGTCACGGGGGCGGTGCTCATGCGCGGGGAGAACATCCATGATGTCTACTATGTTCATTCACCAAAGTCTCCACAAGTCAATCTTTCTCGGGTCTCCACTATATGTTAATTCATCAAAATAAAATTGTTCTTCCAAGTAACATCAAGCTTAGCGAGTCTCATTGTTCGTCCTGTCATATTATTAAAAGCACTAAATTGCCGTTCTCGATTAATACTATGCAAGCCAATTTTCCTCTTGAGTTAATATATAGTGATGTTTGGAGCACTTCTACTCCCTCTATTGACGGTTATAGGTACTATGTGTGCTTTGTTGATTTTTTCACTCGGTACACTTGGTTATACCCATTAAAACAAAAAAGTGATGTGTCCATTGTGTTCCCTCAGTTCCATAGACTAGTAGAAAAATACTTTAACCATCAAATTAAATCCCTCTTTTCCGATAATGGGGGTGAGTACATTAAATTAAGATCCTACCTAAATGAACATGGCATATCTCATTTTACCACTCCCCCACACACGCCAGAACACAATGGTATTGCTGAACGTAGGCATCGACATATTGTTGATACCGGGCTTACACTACTTCACTATTCCGGTCTATCCCATTCCTATTGGTCCTACGCGTTCCAAACAGCAGTATATCTTATTAATCGACTTCCCAACTCCGCCATTAATTTTTCTACACCCTATTATTTAGTATACAATCGTCACCCAAATTACAAAAAGTTACAACCTTTTGGGTGTTTGTGTTATCCATGGCTTCGTCCATACTCTTCCTCAAAAATTCTTGACCGCTCCACACAGTGTATTTTTATTGGCTATCTTTATCACAATCAGCTTATCTCTGTCTTGATCCTAGTACCCATCGTATATATACGAGTCGCCATGTTCGGTTTATTCCAAATATTTTTCCGTTTCGTAATTCACCTCCTGAGTCTGGTACGTTCTCTCCTACATGCATGCAATTGCCGCCCGTGCCTACCTCATCCTTATCATCCCCAGCATCTCCCACTCCACCAATCCCTCACCCTTATCCACTTATTAGCCCACATATTCCTGCTCCATCATTATCTACTAACCTCATAACCAACCCACCCACTGCTCCCATTTCCCAGCCTTCTACCACGTGCCCTCTTACAAATCCCTCTCCCAATATTTCCCAATCATCTGGAGCCATCATCTCTCAAATAACCGAACCATCTCACCCCATGCAAACCCTATCCACCTCCACACAAACAAATCCACATAATCCATCTGCCAGTTCTGCGCAACCAACCCCACCCATTATTAACCCATCCTCACAATTTAATCACAACCGACCCACTCGTATCCGAGTCCCCAACCCCAAATATCTTGGAGGTCCCTTCGTTAACGTCACCACAAAACACCCAATCCCACCTACCCTTGAGCCAACCAGTGTAAAGCAGGCGTTGTCAGATCCAAGATGGACCTCTGCCATGCAGGATGAAATGCAAGCTCTAAAACGCAATAATACGTGGAGTTTAGTTCCCCCTACTGGTCAGACTCCGATAACATGCAAATGGGTCTATCGGATCAAGAGAAATTCAGATGGCAGCATTTCACGTTTTAAGGCCTGACTCGTGGCTCGCGGGTTTTTACAACAACCCGGACGTGACTACTCCGAAACATTTAGTCCCGTTACCAAGCCAGCAACTATACGTATTATATTGTCTATTGCACTGGTTCGGAATTGGTCACTTCGTCAACTGGACGTGAATAATGCCTTTCTACATGGGACATTAACGGAGGAGGTGTATATGGCTCAACCGCCCGGTTTTCGGGATCCTCAGTTCCCTACACATGTTTGCAAACTCCACAAGGCACTATATGGGTTAAAACAAGCCCCACGTGCTTGGTACATGGAACTGAGCCGGTTTCTTCTTTCTGTGGGCTTCCATAAGTCACGGGCAGATGCATCCCTATTTATCTACTCATCTAATGGTATACTAATTTATTTCCTTGTCTATGTTGATGACATTGTTCTTACAGGGAATAACTCTCATGCCATTGAAGCATTTGTCCGGCAACTTACACACCGTTTTTCGGTCAAAGATTTGGGTATGCTCCATCATTTCCTTGGAATTGAAGTGGTTCCCACTCCCACTGGAATTTTTTTGACTCAACGTCAATACATACTCAATATTTTGGAGACATGTAACATGAATGGAGCAAAGGAGGCAGCTACTCCTATGTGCACCAAAACGTCGGTAGTGCTCAGAGATGACACATCTCCTACCGATGCCACACAATACCGCCAGGCTCTAGGTCTTCTCCAATAACTGTCCTTCACTCGTCCCGGCATCTCATTTGCTGTCAATCGGTTGTCTCAATTCATGCATGCTCCCACCGAGACCCATTGACAAGGTGTGAAAAGAATATTACGATATCTCAAAGGCACTATCGATCATGGCCTCTTTCTCAGCCGGTCCTCATCCTTGACTTTATCCGTATTCTCAGATTCTGATTGGGGAGGGGTGCATGATGGGGGCCGTTCAACTACGGCTGATGTTCTCTACTTAGGCAGTAATGTTATCTCATGGAAGTCAGCAAAGCAGAAAACAGTTTCTCGTTCTTCTACTGAAGCTGAATACAAGGCTGTTGCGAATGCTAGTGCAGAAATGTTGTGGGTGCGCAACTTGCTAGCCGAGCTGGGAATTTCGCTTGCCTCTACCCCACAGCTTTTTTGTGACAACCAAGGAGCTACCTACGTGTGCAGTAATCCTGTTTTTCATTCTCGGATGAAACATCTTGCCTTGGATTTCTTTTTTGTACGAGAACTGGTTGAACGTGGTCAATTGATGGTCAAACATATTTCTACAAAACATCAGATCGCTGATATTCTCACCAAACCTCTCAGCAAGGGTCCATTCCTTTACTTTCGATCCAAGCTGGGAGTATCCAACGGATCCTCCATCTTGCGGGGGCATATTAACGCATAATATTAATATAATATTATTGTACATTTGTTATATGTAATTATCTCATACGGTAGTTAATATTTGTATTTATCCCATACGTATGACTAGCTATATCCCTTAGTTTGTGATTAGTTAGTTATTTGATCTTATCACCACCTACTGTAACTCTATATATTCATGTACGTAGCTAAAGCTGAATACAACAATTCAATATCTTCCAATATACTTCTTCATCCAGAGGTACTACTATGACAAGCTGATTTTATTAAATCACTTAAATTTGACATGGTGAATAAAGATACTGTTTTTTACAGCTTTTATATTAGGCCTATTAAGTAACTGAATTGATGCGGGTACTATTTTTAAAGAACTAAATCGAACTTCATAGTTCTTTTTGCTGAAAATATTTTAGTTTCACAACATTCAGTATTCCATGACCTTGGTTATAGGCTGGAAAAATACAAGGAAAAAAAGAACTTCAAACGGGCTATAAAACATTTCCATTAAGTTCTTTGGAGGATATGATATACTTGTGGACTGTTTTTTTGTTATCCGGGATGTGGTATTGTACTAGTTATATTTTCAGCAACTACAGAGGTTATATATATGTATATGTATTCTTGTGTTTATATGTAAAGATTTATTGACTAACAAAATAATATTGTGAAATTAGGTAGAGGCCGTGGACAAGGGCTACGATCGGTGCTCTCTCATAAGACTAATATGGATAAGTCACGAGCAGAAGACATCAGAAAAGGATACCAACACACTATAAATATTTTAATGGAGCTGAAAAAGAACCAATGCATCAAAGGCATGAAAATATCACTTCAGATTCTGGTACTCATACTTGTAATTTTGTATAATTTATCTCTTATTTAATTTTAGTTTGAATCTGGATCAGTTCTAATGATGTTTTTTTAAGGCGATTTCACTTCCCACACAGTTATTCTATGCTTTGGAGAAGCGGAATACCGTGAAAAGAATTTTAGTGAAGATAGTTGTTTGCTGGATGTTTTGGCGATGTGTCATAAGTTTGTTGACATCTATTCTGTTGGGATAAAAATAACCGATGGAAATGTCTTGTTGTGAACACAGTTTCAATGTCTTGTTGTTTTTTGTTTTATAATTTTTCAGTTTTATGTAATCCATTGATTAAACATTAGGAAGAAATACATGAAGTGGTTCAATCAAATCCATCATTGCCACATGTCGATGTAATTGAGAAGTGCTTTGGACCTCAACAACGTAGTCATGTCATTTGTTTTGGAGGTGGAGTGAGCCGCAAAGATCTAAAGGGGCCTTCTTCTAAAAAGAGTGAGCTTGAGGCTAGGTTGCAGGTAGCTGAAGAAGAAAATAAGAGCATGAAAGAAGAAAACCAAAGCATGAAAAGTCGCCTAAGTGCATTAGAAGATGATTTCCAAAAGCTTAAAGAAATGTTACAAGGTCAAGGAAGCAAAGATTAATATTCGAAGAACTTCCACTTGTCATCTTTCTTATTTAATGTTTATTGCCTTGCATGGGCTGGGGGTTTTTAGAGACATTTTATAGTTAGTCTACAAATTGGTATCTATGATACGTTGTGATTGGTATCTATGATACATTATGATGCATAGATGATAGATTAAATTTTTTGATGATGATATTAGTTTTGTTTTGAACGTGAAATGATGTTATGTTTATATATATTTAAATCAATTTTCAGTTTTCTAGTATGTATGATAATATGCTTTGGATCATACATTTGCTATACAAAATTTATATGTTATGTTACGTTTGGCATACATAAACTCAACATATTAATTTGGAATATAAAAACGAAGGGAAAATGGTCGCAAATACGTTAATTAAGTTGTCACAAACAATAACCCTGGACTGAATATATTAGATTTAGCGAAGGGATAACAGTCACAATTAGTCTTAGGAAGTGGTCTCTAATAATATTATTAGCGACGGTATTTTATGCGGTCCCAAAAGCTTTTAGCGACATATCGTTTTTCCCGGTCGCAAAATACTTTTTGCGGCGAGGCCTACAACGACTGTCACGCGACCACGTTTTCCGCTCGCATTTAACAATTAGCGACCAGTTTTTAGGTTTTTGCGACTACTTTTCCCTTCGCAAATAGGGCAGTTTCTTGTAGTGAAAAGTGTGTAATTTCCAATGTAGAAATCAATCAAAGCTAATTAAAAATACAAATATAAACATGGAAATTACGAACGTATAATGTACTCAGCACATTAGATGCCTTATTGTTTACCAGGCCTCCCAGGACCAAGTTCTGGGAGCCCAAATTCACATTTCCCCTATAAATAGCCCCCTAAAGGTAGTTGGGGGTTGAAAAATATTAATTACAAACTTTCTCTCTCTAGCTCTCACTTCTCTTTAGATTAATACTCTATCCGCATCTATTCACTTCCATGTATAATGCCAACAAACAATAATTTCAATAATAGGAAAACAAATTGTGACTAAACGCTGGTGACTCGACGGCAGCGGTGAGTTGGAGTGCGACCGTGCAGATGGAGGATGGAGGTGATGGCTGGGCAGCGCCGGCACGGCGGCATGGGGACGGTCGCGGCATGAAGACGGCCGAGCGCCGCGACATGGAGTTGGCCGCAACGCTGCGGCATGGTGACGGGCGCGACATGGAGACAATGACGGCCGTGGGTAGGCGCAAGCATGTGGATGACTAGGACGACGGTGGAGCAAGTGTCGATCGATGATGGCGTCGGGTGCCGCGGTGAGGGATGGCGGATGCCGCGGCAATGGGGGCGCGTGGTGCCGCAACATTGGTTGGTGGCAAGGGTTTCGATAAAATGATTAGGAGGTTGGGGTTTTATAATAACAATTGAGGCATATTAGTCCATAATAGTTATTAATTAATTAATTACATAAATAAATGCTATTTTGGGGGGAAAACTACTTCGTAATAAGATCATATATTGAGAAACTGAATGAGTTTTAGCCATATATACGATAATTATCTCTATTTTAACTAATACAACTAAAACAAATATTATTCAAAAAAAGTAGTTTACCTTCAAGCAAACCTAATACTATGAAGCGTGTCCTTCAAATAAGAACAGAGGTAGCACTTGAAGTAATAGTGTGATTAGTGTCATGTTTGGTTCGTTTATTTTTTTTTTTAAATTTTAACTTTAACTTGCTCAACCCTACTAGTGTAGTCGTGTATGCCGAGCTTAGGTAGTGGCATAGCCTATTTTACCTCAGGTTTATTGAGGTAAAATTCAAATGAATCAAAGGTGATTCCTCATGCTGAAAAGATATAACGAAACATGTTTTCCTCTTGGTCAAAAAGTAAAAAGTAAAGAAACGGGTTAGAAGAATTACTCTTCCATTATGGAGTAATTTTTGTCTGATTTGACCACTATTTGACTTTTGATCAGGTACATATCTAATTGAAGTGTTTGTTTAGTTGGCTTTTTCACCTGTTTTTTTTATCCAAAACAGCCAAAATGGAAAAGGTCGATAAATCCAGCGTTTAGCTACCGGCCGTTTGAGTATTTTGCCTACCCAAGGTTGTGTCCTCTTCTTTGTGCGCCACCTCTCCTCTTTCCCTAAAAATAGAAAAAGCAGAGAGCATTGAAGGCTGGGTGATCGCACACGAAGGTCGTCCCTTGAACTCTAAGGATGTTTTTACTTGGACCGTAATTTGCTGGTCTGGTCTGGTCTAATCTGGTCTGGTCTGGTCTGGTCTGGTCTGATCTGGTCTGGTCTGGTCTGGTCTGGTTTCTTTGTATTTTTATAACTATCTAAGTCTGGTCTGGTCTGGTCTGGTCTGGTCTGGTCTGGTCTGGTCTGGTCTGGGAGGAATTACAGTCCAAGTAAAAACATCCTAAGTCCAACTTGAGAATATATATAAAGACTTATTATGCATGTAATTTCCTCTAGCTAATCATATAAATCACCATAACAAAATCTGGAGTAAAAACACAATTCTTGGTGCAACACACCATAACAGATTCAGCAAAAAATCTTAAAATAATTATTACTTTTTCCATTAATTTTTAATTTGTAAGTGATTGTACTAGTAATGTTAACAAAAAATTAATTGATGTCCTGCAAAGTAATTTAACAAGTTATCAATTAATTTAATCAAAACAGCCAACAGAATTCGTTATCACCAATCAGGCAACAGAATCATCCCACCATTCCCACGGCCAACAACCAATTGTCAAACACCCCCGCCATGTTACTTCATCGTGCTATCGTGTTAATTTATTTTTATAGTGGAGTTCTCACTTAGAACTCCACAATAAAAATGAGTGATTAGGATAATATCATATACAGTACCTTAAAATTTTGTGAGGAATATAACAGTTGCAAACGATCGAGTGCTTGCCTCAAAGTTGTATGGTTCTTAACATATTTTATCAGGCGAGGAATGAAGAAGGTTTTTGATGATTTTTTTTGAACCATATTATATATATACATCGAATGTAAAAACTGCTTACCTTAATTAAGAAAAATCTACTTGGGAGTAGTACATCAAAACTTAACTAGGACTAATTTAATACGACGATTTTTTACATTATATTACATGATAGATCACTTTCCCTATTTTTTATTTGACTGCATATATAATCACTATATACACATTTAGAAATAATTACAAAGATATAATAAAATGAAGTAGCTAGAATTAATTAATTGAAGATTGCTTGGCCTGGGGATAATATCATTTTTGGATCAAACCGAGCCTTGTTTTCTTGGAAAGAGTTCCACTTCTTGCCAAAATGTTTCATCCAGTCTTGCTTGGTATTGAAATGGGGAAGATACTGCTTGATCTTGATCCCAGCTTCCTCACAATACTTTAGTGTTTCTTCATTCAAAGCATTCATGCCCTCCCAATCATTGATCCCACAGGAATACAGCATCCCCACACAGTAAAAGGTTTCCTCTTCAGGTATCACCACTGACATCCTATCATCCCACCTGCTCACATGCATCACATATTAACAATCAATTCTCTCAATCTACCCCCATTAATACCACATGCTTTCAACAAGTACCTTCACTTATTATTTATTGACTATAAAAATATTCAACAAAAACAAATTGAAGGGTTTGATAAATAAATGATTTTTGAAAATGTTATACCACTATCTATGTCTCATTTTACGTGTCTTATTCTGAGACACTTTTTTTAAAGTAACCACATGGGGAGTGAATAGTAGTGGTGCGGGTAATCATACTCCCCGCTTGGGGTTTATACGGTCATGAATCATTCTTGGTGTACACATATTTTGTATGGTCCATAATTGTCTGTCTACAAGGCAACTTCTAAACGAATTGTCTGTATAGACAAACAATTACGTGTACAAATATGTGTACACACAGGTTTATGATTAGTCATTATAATCTCAAGCGGTTTGATAGGGGTAGCCATCGATATAATTGATGACTAGTTGGTGCAAAAGATTTTGTGCAGAGGATCTAATTGAAATGGTCAGACTATCTTGGTGATGGGACAGGTATTTATGAACAAATTAGTTAGAAGGAAATAATTAGGGAGGGACAAGGGGACAAGATTATTGGGAGGCAATAAGAGTGCGTACGTTTTGGAGGTGGTGGGATAGACAAGGATGGGGTCCCCTGATGAGGAAGAGCTCTTCTTCTTATTATTATGCTTCAGAATGATGCTTTCGAATACGCCGGAATTGAAATCCAAGATTCGGGACTTTGGTACAAACAAATTTAGCCATGGATGGGAAGCCTTCCATAGCCCGTTCTCTTGTGCCTCCAAATCCTTACTCGTCACTCTATTCAGAAACTCGAAATATGTCATTTCTTTCTTGAAATTCATCCCCTTCACATATCCCAAATCTCTCACCAAACCCTGCACACCAAAAATCATTCATTCATTCAATCTTTCCCTATTAAATTCACTAACTAACGCAGGAATTCCCGAGATGAGAGGTGGTTGTGTAAAAAGATATTTTTTTGTAATCCCGGGAGTGGGGTTATGGATTGTCTGGAATAAATAGAGCGGACACTCTCTTTATACGATTTTGAACTCGAGACCCGTATGAGAGAGTGAATTGGTGATCAGATGATCTGAAACGCTTCCTTCACTTGACAAAGCAGTGACCCCTAGTTGCCTCACTAATTAGAAGCTCGATTGATATATCATTTAACATTTTATCAAACGCGTAACTTTTGATTTCAGGGGTTACTAATCGAAATTAATAAAGCTGTTTCAGCCAGAATTTCATCAATTTCGACATACGGAGTCAATTCAATCAATTTTAGGGCTTTCCACCGAGCACTAATGAGTGAAATTGCTTTATGTGTCACTTATATAATTTTATGATGTGTTCAATATGACAACATAATTTCAATAAGTATCAATAATTGAATGAACAAAAAGTACCTCTTGATTTTGATCATCATTGTCATCATAGAAGTACTTGACAACATCTAAGCAGTACACAATAGGGTTGTCGGCGAGCAAAGGGTTGATTTTGGATCGATCGGAGGGGGAAAAGAAGGAAGATCTCCAGTTATTTGGAGAGCTCTGGTTCATTATAAGAGACCCTTCCAAGTAGTCAACTCCCTGCTCTTTCTCGTCCACTGAGATTAGATACTCTTGGTCTTCGGTGAATTTGGAGAAATCATCGTACAACATTCTTACCCATTTTGCCTGCATCCATAATTCCATTTAATAATCCATATATGCACAAAATTTTGTTTTAATAGCACATTAATATTAATTAATTATCATTATTTGTAAATATAAATGTAAGTGTTTAATTTACATACCCTTGTTGGTGCTTTCTTTAGGACAATTCTAGCCCTTGTTATGATTCCAAACTGTCCCAGCCCACCCAAAACGGCAAAAAAAAGATCCGAGTTGACGTCTTTGGAGCAGGTAATAAATTCCCCCGTTCCTGAACAAAGAAGTACAAAAAATTTAGTATATACAAACGTCTACATTAAATTATAAAATTATAATTTTATAATTTAAGAATGATAAAATATTAAAACAACATTAATTAACGTTTAGCAGTCATTCAAGAAGCAAGATTAGACTATCCACCATAAAATAAAACTTCCGAACACATATACCCAATATTTTGTTTAAGTGTCGCTTTGCAACACTGCTAGAAACGAAACATAAAAAGAAAAAAATTACAACTTTAAACATGGTGGGCCGACATATCCAACGCCCCACTAACCCACTTAACAAAATGTTTCTATTCGAAAGTGACAATCCACCCTTCTACTTCAGGTTTTAGGATATACCTTTTCAGAAAATCTTTGAAAAAACAAACCACTTTATAACTTCTCTTTCCACACACCCGTGATAATTCATATACATTCCAAATCTAATTATAAACAATAAACTCGAAATTTTATGTAGAGCATGTTCGTGTGAGCAGTGAAATTGACTGAATCGGTTCATTCTATTCTAATTTATGAAATTGTAACTAAAATGGCAGTATTGGCTAATTCTTCTGATTTATAAAAAAAATTATATTAAAAATATATTTTATTAAAAAAAATAAAGAAAATATTATATGAAAAAATAGCTAAACTGGTTATTTACGTTAACTTTAGCCAATACAGCAAAAAAAGTAACTCCAAACTTATTTTTTTCTTATTATTACACAATTAAGCGCAACGTGAGAAATCAAAAATTACGTGTTTAATTGAAAAGTTGACTGATAAGTCTGATAAATCGAAAAACAGAGTCACCAAACGGGCTCGTAGTATATTAATATGCACCGTCAGATTGTGTTTTTAGAATATGTGTTTTTAGATTTAGTGGGATCGTTTGCTTGTTTGAGTTCAATCAACTTGGAAGATAGGTTAGTTTTTTAGGTTATATCTTATGTGTGGTCAATATGACATGAGAATGTATGTTTCTTTTCTTTATTAAATCTTGTGAAATGACTTGACGTCACTAAGCCGGTCAAATTATGCCTAACCAGTTCATTCAAATAATAAATCATTTTTTTTGAAGATATTTTATCTTAACATAAAACACTATCCGAATAAACCATATTATTCCCATGTATCCAGATTTGAATATATGACGCGCGCTATTGGCTTAGGCCTTCGGTTATTACCCACTTTTGGATTAAGGAATGATATGCCTTGACTTTTCTCGCCCCAACTATAATCTTGATTAATGAAATATAAGTACACTTCAACTATCAACCGATTCAATACAAATTTAATTAAACCCAAACTTTAAATACTACGTATCAAATTAAGCCGATTGCCAAATCATACTTTAATATTCGGACATCGAGCTGACGTGGCTTAAATGGAAACAGGAGGAGGAGGGTGATGCAAAATAGGCAAGTCCATTGGCAATAAATAATTTTCATGCCACGTAGGAGTTCACGTGACATCGGTCAATATTAATGGCGTGGACCAGAAACAAGATTTCTAGCTATTATCTAAATAAAATCAACACTAATTGAAGTTCACATTCTCTCTCCCAAAATAATTTCTTTTTTGTACGTGTCAATATAAATTCCTTTTTTCGTTTAAAGTAGATTTTATGGTAATCATAAGGTATCATACCTTCGTCCATATGCACTAATCAGAATGTTGTTGTTGAATTATTTAAATTTTAATTAAAAATGATATAATTATTTGAACCAATCAAATGAATGGTACGTACGGTACACCATTTTTTAAATGAATACCGGAGTTGTCAGCTACAGAGAAACCGTGATATACAATATTTTCTCTTATGCGTGCAATTTTAAGTCACACAGTTCTCCCGTGGACAAAGATAATTAAGACTATAAAAATCATATTTTGGGATTGAAGTATAATGACTGATTTATGTCAACTTAGTCCATGTTTGAACGAATTTTTATGAAAAGACACTAGCTGATTTTGTACACTCACGGTCCTATATGTAACTACTTATTACAATAATGAATGTGACGGTTTTTAATTGCTAGGCAAAATTAAAACAAGGTACACACTAAGAAAACACGGGAAACATGAAACTGTATCGGTCATAAAATAAGAAGTGACAAAGATTTTCTGGCACCGTTTGATATCAGAATTCAACCAAACCAAATTAAATATTACGGTATTTCTGTCACGTAATTAAGAATATTATATTGTTAGGACGGTGTTGCGAATTATTATTCTTAAACACACAATTTCAGTTGTTTACTTTTATTAGCGGTTCCGGTAAGAACGGACTCCCAGGAGAGAAATAAGAACGAATTTGGACCGTTGGATTGTATTATGTGGAACGGAAATGTGCATTTGATGAAACTAAAATGTGTATTAGATGATACTGAAATTTGCAGAATAAAATCTAAACTCAATTGTGCATTAGGTGAAACTGAAATGTGCGGAATAAAATGTACAAAAATAACATCACATCGTACCTTTTATTCTGCACATTTCAGTTTCACCTAGTGCACATTTCAATTTCACCTAATGCACAATTAAGCATCACATAATGACATTGTATCGTACGCTCTGTGTTGCACATTTCAAATGCACATTACAATTTCATCTAATGCACATTGAATTTTACTTAAAACAAATTTAACAGTCCAGATTCGTTCTCATTTCTCTCCTAAGATCATGTTCTTATTTGAAACAAAACATATATATATATATATATATATATATATATATATATATATATATATATCGAAATTAAAGTTGGGTATAAAAATTATCTTTTATTCTTTGTGTCCTTGAAAAAACTCCTACTTTGACTCGGTAATTTGGCACATTTATGAAGAAGCGCGGGATCATTTATAAACTCTTGCGAAGAAAAATAAAACATTCGAACCATTGAATTCTTTTATTGTAAGAAGAGAAAAAAGAAATCTATTTTAGAGACCCCCCTGGAATGTTTGAGGCATCAACTTTTTGCAAAGTCCAGTGTAGAAAATGTATAAATATGAGTGAATGATGAAGATGTATCAGGTATGAAATGTACAATGAAAAAGTAAGAGAGTATATATTTTTAAATAATAAAAACTTATAGAAACAGGAAATGTTTCAAATATTTAAATGTGGACTAAAATGGAAAGCATCTTAAACATTTAATTTGATCACTAACGCGAAAAAGAAGTTGAACCCTTTCCATGATGGGGAAAGATTAGTGGATTTCCTTTTGTGATACTTTTAGTACACAACTTGTTATTTCACAAAAAGAACAAAACTAAAATTGTGATATAAAGTTGCAATAAATAATACGTAGTACTTCGTATATGGAGTATTTCTAAAAAAAATATTCTTCAATTTTTTTGATCGTTACAGAATTAATTAAAATACTTTAATTTCATACTACTATAAAACTTATAACTTTGATTTTTATTACCAGAACTTATAAGCTTCATAAATGTATAAAATTTAAAACATTCACATAAACATATTAATAAACATCCTTTAATTTACTAAAAAAATGAAGGACAATAGTTTTATATATGTATACGTTTGAAGAATGTTCGCTCCGCCACTGTTCGAGAGTATAATGTTGCTACATACTATACGTAGGTATGGAATACGTACCCGTGATAACATCCAGCTCAAGAACGTTGCTGATCTGTGGGCCATAACGGAAGGCCTGGCCGCTGATCCCGGCGTTGGATAGGGTTCCGCCCACCGTCAAGTACAAATAATCCGTCCACGATACGGGCGCGACGCCGTGCGGGAGGCATGCACGCAAAACGTCGATCCACAGCTCTCCACCCGCCACGTCGGCATAATACCCTAATGAATCATTCCAAGAAACCTTAATCTTCCCGCCGGCAAGAGCGCCCATATTCACCACCACCCCGTCCTTCGCCGAGGCCTGCCCGCGGACCGAGTGGCCGTGCCCCCTTGCCGCAATGGGGAACGGGGAAGGGAAGGTGTAGGAGAACCGGACGAGGTCGATGATGTCGTCAATGGAGGACGGGTAGAGGACGGCCGCCGGGGTTTCTTGAACTCGGCCGCCGAAGTCCGTGGCGGCCGCCGTCGTGGCGTGGGAGTCCACCCGGAACTTGTCGGCGATGTGGTCGAGGATTGCGTTGGGGATAATGGAATTCCATGGCTTGATCAAGATTGATACCAAACGGTTTAGGACGAAGAGGAAGATGTAGAGAGTTGGAGAAGCTAGCTTAGCCATATTTTCCGGCGAGTAGTTTATTTTCCGGCGAATAGTTTATGAAGAAAGGAATGTTATCGAGAAGCTAGCGCGTAAGATGAGTGATAACTAGTTGGGCTACAAATGGTTGTATTTATAGGAAGAGAAAGAGAGGGTGGGGGATGGGGTGGGTGGGGTTGGGTAGGGAATGAGGATGTGGAAATAGTGTACATGTTTTATGTTAAATTGAATTTCATGGGGCCTTTTAAAAATGTGGTCTGAGTGGGAAGGAAACCACCCGGAAGTTCCTTCGTTAAAAATGTGGTCTGAGAGGTAAATTTGTGTGGCTAGTTTTTTCAAAGTCAATGTTGACTTGTAGTAAAAAAAAATCAGTTTTGATCCTAACTATTGTGTCAATTCCAATTCTCACATTCGGTTCATGTCTTAGAATTTGATCACTTAATATATGAATATTATTTTTTTCACATGTTCGTTTTATAGATGCCAAAAGTTTGATTGAATTGAAAGGATCACCAATGAACAAGAAATAATTGTTGAGTATTAAAAGTAAGCAATATTAAAGAAACCCGTGAAATGTAGAATTGATACGTTTTTACCGGACTGAAATTTGTTGGTCTAATTTGGTCTGGTCTGTTTAAGTTTAGTCTGATATGGTCTGAATTAGTCTGTTCTGTTTAGTCTGGTAAACGTCTGATCTTTGTGTATTTTATAACTATTGAAGTCTGGTCTAATCAGAACCGATCTGATTTGATCTGGCCTATCTAATTCTGATCTGGTCTGAGACGGAAAATAGTCCAAGTAAAAACATTTTTTGTGTTAAACTTGTAGGCGCAAAGTAGAATTGAATAATGTGCTAAACATCTTAATATTGTCATTCATATGTTGATGTTATGTCTAATAACACCTTTACATCCAATTATAGTGTTTGTTACTACCTCTGCCTTTTTTAATTGGCCGTCTTTAATTTTTCAGTCAATACTGACAAATTGTAGTCGATCATTCTAACTAAAATACTTATGTGAAACTTTTATATATGTTCCGATCTTACAATACTATCATTAGCAAATACATTTCATTTTAATTTCTATTGTAATTACTTTTTCATATGAATATATCATTTGTCAAAGTTTAGAATTATTAATTGAAAAGAAAAGATGAATGATTAAAAAGGGACTGTACTATTTTGAGACCAAATTTGCTTTCATTATCTCTATTTTCTACGTAGTATCTAACTTTTATATATTCCGTATTTACTTTAATTTTTTACAGCTCAATATATTTTTTAATGTTATTACTGAATTTAATGTGTGCCAATGTCAATTCTAAATATTACTCTCACCTAAATTTCCCAATCCCAAAAAGAGACATTCGAATAGAGAGGGAGCAACCGAGCAACGTAGTAATAATTCTTTTATGGATCGAAGTTGTTATTGACTTCATAGTAAATAATAATTGTGTTTGTGTCAAACGCGTTATCTTTCATAATTGATCATATATAGGTTAGACTTGGGTAAAGGAATTGACATTAGATGGTATATGTGTGTGTATAGCTGGTATAAGTCAACCTGTATTAGCTTTAATTTGTATAATTATTAAAAGTTTTATTTGTGTTTGTTACCTAGGGTATGTTTGGCACAACTAGTTGAAAAGTTACTTTTATGAGATTTTTAATAATCATTAACTTTTAGTGACTGAAAAGATCTTAAAAAGAAAATGTGGTAGATGCTTGGTAAAAAGTTGACTGTTTGATTTAATTCGGTTTGATATACAAGCTGTTAGGATTAATTAATACTAAAAGTCACGAGCTTTTCTCAGATGCTACTCCCCGTAGCATCTCAAAAAAGATATTTTAATTTTTTAAAAATTATTAAAAATTATCATGCCAAACATATAACTAAAAACTTTTAGAAACTTTTTGAATAGTACAAAACGTAGAAGACAGAGACTATGCAAAGAATAGCTTCTAAAACATAGTTTATTGAATTTTAAACACTAATAAGTCATAATAACTTATTAGTCAATTATGATTACATTAATCTTTTATCGAACACCAACAATCTCCCCCATGAATAACTTTATGATTACTAAAAGTAAAACAAGTAAGGACTATTAGTCTATTATACTATTAAAAGGTGTATTTTTCACCTAGTTGTATCACATGATATATTCCTCCCGTCTCACTATAATTTCTCATTATTCCTTTTTCGTTCGTCCTACTAAATTTATCTCACATCATATTTGATAATATTTGTGTGCCTCTAATTCATTCTTACTTTATTCGCGCTTTATCAATTCATTATTAACCACATAACTCTATTTTATTTTTAAAACTTCATCACTATCCTTGTTCCAATCTTAGGGGACGGAGGCAGTACTATACAAACATACAAAGTACTCCCTCCGTCCCGAAATTAACTTTCGGGTTTTACTTCACGGGTTCTTAGGTAAGAAAAAAAATAAAAGTTGACTTCCCAAGAGTACCCTTTCAAAGTAAAGAGGACTAGTTGTCCAAATTAATTAAAGAAGATAAGTGAATAGTAAAAGTAAAGGGTAAATATGTATTTTGAAAGCAAAAGCTTACCAAAAGTAGAAATAAAGTAAAGTAGAAAGTTAATTTTGAGACACCCCAAAAAGAACAGGGAGAAGTTATTTTCGGAACGGAGGGAGTATTTATTTATTATTTCTTCATGACAATCTGACTGGAGAAGTTTATATGCGTCAGCCTCCTGGTTTTGTACATCCACAATTTCCTAATCATGTTTGTAGACTCAGGAAGACTATTTATGGTCTCAAACAAGATCCAAGAGCATGGCTTTATCGATTCAGTAGTTTTTGTTGACTCATGGTTTTGTGTGTAGTAAGTCTGATAATTCTTTGTTTATTTACCGTCATGGATCCTCTGTTCTTTATCTCTTATTATAGATGGATGACATTATTATTAATGATAATTCCCCTTCCTTTATTTCCACATTTATTTCTTGTTTTAGTCGTTGTTTTTCCATGAAGGATTTGGGGGATTTACATTTTTTCCTCTGTGTCCAAGTTGTTCGAATGCCCTCAGGTTTGTTTTTGTCTTAACAAAAGTATGTGTCTGACTTATTAACCAGGTTTATTCTCCACACTCTTAAGCCTGCTCGTACTCCGCTTCCTACACGAACTAAGCTATCTCTCACTAATGGTGATCTCCTTGAAGATTCTACTAAGTATAGAAGTATGGTAGGTGCTCTACAGTATTTGACCATGACTCGACCTGATATTACATTTATTGTTCACCTGGTTTTTAAGTTTATGTATGCGCCCCGTACTTCTCATTTATTGGCTGTTAAACGTATTTTCATGTATCTTCGGGGTTCTCTAGATCACGGCTTGCTCCTTCAGCCGAGCACTTCTTCTCCTACATGCACATTACATGCTTATTCTGATGTTGATTGAGCTGGTGTCCTGATAGTAGTCAGACTACTTCAGGCTTTGCTATTTTTTTGGGTCCTAATTTAGTCTCGTGTGAGTCCAAGAGGCAGCCAACTATCTCCCGATCTTCCACATAAGCTGAATATAAGGTTATTGCATACACGGTTCAGGACTCTCTCCATATTCACTCCATATTATTCGAATTAGGCATTCCCATTTGCCAACCGGATAAGTTATTGTGTGATAATGTTTCTGCCTTCTACTTATCCACGAATCCTATTCAAAATGCTCGGAGCAAGCACATCAACATTTATTATCACTTTGTTCGTGAGAGAGTCTCGCACGGAGATCTAGTTGTTCGCTATGTTCCTATACAGTTCGACTTAGCAGAACTTTAAATTCCGTCTCCACATCGTTTTATTTTTCTTAGAGACAATCTGGGCATTGTTTCCCCTGCACAGCTTGAGAGGGTGTAATAATGTAATTAATATCATTAATTAGGTTTCCATATTTATTAGGTTTTCTATTGTAATCAACACAAATTAAAATGCATAAATGATTCTTGAACTATCATTACCATATCGTTTTGGTCCTCGAACTATTAAATCTAACATTTTAGTCCTTAATCTATTTCATATATATTAATCGAGTCATGCCGTTAAATTTGCCGTCGACTTTGACGGAAGCTAATTAATTTATTAACATCTCATAATATAATTTTAAACATTTTGGAACAATACAATTATTCTTAAAATTTAAGTAGCTAATCTAGTTTTTTTTAAATATACATATATGTACACATACACATATACAAATTATAAATATATAATATAAAATTAAATGTACAACCTAAATAATTGGTAGTACATAAGAAAGAATAAAATAATCAAATATATACATATGAGCAGATAAAATTTAATAATAAAATGAGGGTGATTGTTAGCACTACAAACAAATTGCCTTTTACCAATAGTTATAAAATCGTTGGTATAGATATAAAATGTGTTGGTATAGACATCAATTAGCTATACCAACAGAAATACTAGCTATTCCCATAGAAACTTTATCGTCAATATATGTTCCGTCGGTATAGACCAACACCAACATATTTCTTACCCGTGGGAAGAGCTTATAAACTTGTACCAACAAACCAATGACCGTTAGTAATTACATTTACCGTAAGTATAGACGTGTAATAGTTTTACATAACTTTTTGCTATAGCAACGGTTAATGTACCATTGCTACTGTCCTATTATATGAAGCAATAATAATTACTTGATATTTACAAACACAAACACCACATATCCAAAATAAAATTATAATTTGCAATAAAAAATAAAAACATCATTCAATGTATTTTTCATAATAACACCAATCTTCTTTATATGGTGAAAAATATATATACTCAACCAATATAATATCAAGTGCTAATACTGAATTTGTTGATAAAATATAAATCCAAGTCAAGTCTTTTACAATCCAAGTCAAGTCATTATTATAATGCAATTATGGTTGCATTTGAAATAGAACACTTTTAGCAGTTTGCTAATTCCCAGATTCCATGTCCGGTTTTTGTTCATCCTTAGAACACCCGGAATGCAAAACTTGTTATATATTGAATCAAATCTTGAAGACCTACAAAATATACAGATATATTGAGTTCAATGTGCTCCACATATATAG